AATTTATCCCCGTGAAGATGGGCATATCACAGAAATTAACGATTCAAACGAAAATAAAGTTCTTGGATTTAGAAGTCAATTCTGCGCCGCATTCTACCATGTTTACAATCGATTTCATAGAGAGCGACGTTTTTGTTTTGGTCGCGGTTGCATTGTCGATTATCGACCCAAAGAAGTAGTTGCTGTTGTAAAATTTGAAGACACATACGGAGATCTTCTGTATCAAGCAAGATACACCAATTGCTATGCCAACAAAAAGCACGCCGAAAACTTTTTTGATTGTGACATTCGACATGGAGTGTTGAATGATAAGGTGGAAAATAGAACAAAACATAATGGAACTTCAACAATAACCCTTTATCTCACATACCAACCATGCAACAAATCCACAGAAGATACAGAAGTAGGGACTAGACCCGATCAAAGTTGTTGTGATATACTGAAAAGAATATATTCTGATATACTACAGCCCAAAGGCATACGTTTGCGCATCAAAATAACTCACGCACTTCGGTTAGAACCAAAACCACGAGAAGACGATGAGGAACAACAAGGGCCTGATGAGGAACACCAAGGAGGCGACGAGGAACACCAAGGAGGCGATGAGGAACAACTACGACAAAATGCAAGAGCTGGAATACAAGAGTTGATAAAAAGTGGTATAACTGTTAGCGGAATGGAGGAGCATGATTGGATTTATCTTTTTTCCATGGTACAGGATGCCAAAGGTATACCAGAATACAATGAGAAACGCCAATATTTAGATAGTGAGATTCGTGAGACACTAACATATATATTCTAAGCAACAAACAATTAATCTGCCTTGATACCCGAAATTTTATAGCGTCGCACGGTGAATATTGTGCAGACAATTCATGTAAGACACTATTTAAAATAATTTTGTTTAAGTTAATTCTTCATAATCTGCTAGGAAAGTTGTAAACTTGATAAAAATTAATAATGAAAATGCTAGAATTTTCAATGTAGGACGGCCAACATTTTTTCCCAGGGAGGGTGGGTTGGTTGGTTTTCGCGATTGGCTAGCGCGTTCGCTGCATCCTTGATCAGGGCGCTTATATATAGGGCGGTGCAACGCCAGTGATTTCGCTGATCGACGTGTGATGCGGGGCCTGGTAAGCAATTTCCTGCACTACACGGTCAGCGGTAAGTCAATCTTAACTTAACATCGCTCTATGTCTTAGCAACCTGCATAGCAACAACGCTGTAATAAAAACAAATTTTAAAAGTTGAAATTAACTTCGAAAGAACCAAGTTTTTAACGTTGTTTCAACCGACTGAGTTGTCTCTAGCTTTTTTATTATCATTATCAAGCATGAACTAAACAACAACAAATAAAACGAATGAAATTTTACTTTAATATCATGTTTATATAGTTTAATATACAGTTTGTAGTCGATCATATTATTGCCGATCTGAATTTTTGAACGTCGTATAAACCAGTATAGCCTTGACTTACTAGAGAACTTAGCACTAGAGTATAGCCTAGACTTTTACATCAAATAATTAAACATTTTTTTCCAACACAGTTTAATCTTGCAGCCTTGTTCATCAGCACATCTTATTGTCTAAAACACAAACATTCATGGAAAACCATGAGTAAAAATATACAATACCCAAATATATTTTATACTATCAGTGTTATTATAATTATAATTATAGTATACAATAACTCTAACACTCTCGAAGTTTTCGATAAAATAAATTGATTTTGAAGTTTTTGTTTTAAAATATAAGATTTTCCAAATTTTTCGGTTAAAACTGCTGACGACATTTTCACTGCAAAAGACTTTTGAAAGTGCGAAAGCAATGCATTTGATCAGCTTTTGCTCAATGTTCGATAGAAGAAACATCAACCTTCGATCGAGTAGCCCAGATTACAAGTTAGATAGAGGCCAAGAATCAATCTCAAACTGTTTTATTTCAACGAATATCGAACATAATACTTCTCGCCTAGCATCCGAAGAAGAACTACGGTGTTGGCAGAATTTTAACCTATAAAGCGCCCAGCATATTCTCAAATAACTAGGTTCGTGCTGTACAGGACTATGTGACAAATATGCTCTGAAAACATATCAATCATGCTTTAATACTTATGAAACTTTAGCAATACATCGACAGAACTAATGCGAATAACAGCTGGTCAAAATACTTCGTATTGTTTACAACATTCAAAAATTATGACCGGCAAAAGTGGGAAAAACAGGTCCTGAAAAAGGGTCGTATTTCAGCCATGATATCTTCTAAGAATCAACTTCGATTTTTATGAAAGATTCAAATACGAACACATAAAATAATGAACTCTAACATACCTTAGTTCGTAGGTGTTGGCAGTAGATTCACACAAGATATCCTCATTTGAAATTTAGTCTCCATGGAAGTCATAAAAAGGCACGGACATTATCGACCATAAATTCTCTTGTACAAGCTATTTTACTATTACAGCACACAGACCCTTTAGCCAAAGAAATACTTTAACTATTTTGCCATTTAAATCATTCTCATACCAAAAAGATTGAGAGAAATGGCCATACAAACTGAACAACTCAAAATCGCGGTTTTCTTCAATATCCTTCAAAATCGTACTCGCCCCAGTTTTTTTCCGCATCACACGTCGATCAGCGCGCGCGCTCTCGTTGCGCCGCCCTATATATAAGCGCCCTGTCCTTGATATATCTCGATAAATACTGTAACTGTTGAGTGTTTACAGGAATGGCGAAGCGAGCTGCTTCGACCATTGGCTAGTTTTACTCAGAGTTGGACTAATTGTCAACTGCAGACTTTATTCTCATTATCCTGATTAATCATTATGTGCTATGCTCATTTCAAAAAACTTAAGCTACGTTTACACTAACTGGATAGTTTTCCGTAACGGCGCGTATCCGACACGGAATGTACAGCGAAACGACATCTCTCCGTTGCGATAGATAAATCCTCTGAAACAGCGTTCCTAAAAGGTACGGATATAGGCGTTTTTCACGTCGCTACGGAAACCTATCCTGTATGAAGCAAAATTTCTGACCTCTGCGAAATACCTGACCAACTGTGACGGCTCATGAATTTGGCGCGAAATACATGACGCTTGCTAGACTAGCTAAATACACGACTCGGTCGAAAACATCTTTTTAAAGTTTATATGATATTTTATCTTTGTAATAATGTATCACATCTACCTCTGAAACTGTGTGAATAAGTTACAGAGTCAGAGATTACGTGCAGGTAAAAACGAGCAAAGCTATTTTAAACATTACCCATACCTCTGCTTTTTCACATTCAGAAAGATCTCTGACTCTGTGTACTAGCTTTAGCACAACCAGTAACAAATACAGTAGTGGAAGTTACAGCCATTCGGAAAAATTATTACTGAAAAACAGCTTGGTGAATCTTCTTCGAAGGAACACGTGTTGTTGTAGTCGGCAGTTGCGAAATTTGTGAGTAAATTATGCGCATGTGCATATACATTTTCAGGCTTTTTAGTTATATATTTGTAACATTTCCCGATACGATCGATAATTTTACGCAATGAGCAAATCTTTTGTTGAAACCTTAAACCATTAAATGGTATTTCACTCGCGGCCGTGTTTTAGATATGGCGACTACGTAAATATTCTGCCATGCATCGAAATACTGATTTCGGAACTGAATAATCACGAAAACTTAATTTGAAAGTCACCAGCCCTGGAAGGTTTTTGGTGGAAACGGTTCGCTCAGTCGAAGGAAAAGTCAAGGAAAAGTTGGTATATTAAATGTACACTATTAAAAAAGGTCATCAAGTTTTGATTAGTATCAGATTAAGATTAGATCAGGGTTACATTATGATTATATTAGGGTTGGGGGTTAAAGTTGGGGTTAGATTAGGGTAAGGTTTATCTATTCCAATAAGTTATTGCATACAATCGGTTTACAATCACAATAGATTATTGGCTACAACGTGCGGAACGGCTGGCAGCACCATAACATTAGAGACGTTACGATTTTAGGACGGCAACGCGACGGCGACGGCCAAAACAAACTCCTTGAAGTAAATGGTATTCGATAGTTCGTCGTTTATTATCAGTCGTTTGAATTTAATACAGTTTTAGAAGTTGAAGACATGGGTTTTATGTTTGGGAAGAGTTCTGCTGAACCAAGTTTGAAGTTGCACTTGTTGTGGCTTAGAATGCAGCCGTTGTATCAACACGTGAAAATCTGTGATTTGGCGTTGTATGTTTACAGCGAGAACAATGTCTAAATTATTCATTTATTGTAATTATTCAATTCTTTTCAATGATCTATTGTATTGGTAGCCGTTGCCGTCGCGGTTGCCGTCCTAAAATCGTAAGGTCTCTATTTTCCCCGCTCGGCTGCGGAGTTATATTTCAAGATTTTTTGCTGCGCAGAAGATTCGAAGTTGCAGACCTTTGTCAGTTTGTCAGTATTCGTGGAAATGCAAAGCTTTCGGGGAACTCCACACGGATTTAAGTTTTATGAATTTCGAATACGAAATTCACGGGCGAAAGCAAACAATTTTTAGCGGGTTATTCAAATAGGAAAATAGGTACGCGACGCGTACATGTATCTGCGAAAAAACTCGATTCACATTTTGTATTTTCTTGAAAGGAACTGAATAATGAAGATGACATGGGACAATTGAAATATTTCATCACTTATTATAATATAAGAGCAAATAAGATTTTAAAGTCAAACATAATACACATCTAACAGGGCTGTATACAGGGCAGGCAGCAGGGGCAACTACTCCCCCCCCCCCCCAACCGCCGAGTAAATTTAACTGATTTTATAATGTGATTATGATTGTAAGGGATAATTATGCAGTCAGGAAATAAAATT